TTCGGCAGGTGGACACGGCTTCAGGTCAGCTGTGTCACATCATCAGATTGTCAAGACATATCACCTGCCCCTGGGTCTCACCATGTCCATGATTAGTAATGGTGCTTTGAGCAGCACGGTTTGAATAGTGTTCCACTACCATTCTGTACAAGTGATCCCATATCCTGTACATGCTTTGACTATGAAAAGAATAACGATCTGTCAGCACTTACCATTTACTACAACCAGAGTATAGTTGCTGTTGAACTTCTTCAGATTTAGGTCCTGAATCATATTGTATGAGCACCAGTAGAGACCAGAGTCATCATCTGTTACGTTAGTAATAGTGACTGAGAGATTGACCATCTCTCCCTCTGTCTTCACTCTATCTACATACTCATCTTCAGGTGTGCATTTAGGAGGGTTCCTGTAATAATAGAGCACTTTTTTCTCTGACTCCATCCTTTGGTACAAATGCATCGACTTGGCATTTTTGGTCGTCGAGCATTTGACAGTAATTGACTTTCCTTCCTCTGCTGTCACAATCCTGGCCTTCTCTGAAGGTTAGAAAAGATAAAACATTGTGGTTTAAAAAAGGAGCTACAATGCAGAATTACTAATTATTGTATTTATTTATACTCGACACTCTCCAACAATTCTGACTTTATGGTTCTCATTGTAATTTTACAGTGACACTGAAATTTAGGCTATACAAATAAGATTAATACTTTATTGAATTCACTGCATCTGGAAGATCTCTCTAGGCAGAACCCCCACAACTAGCAGCACGTAAATGCTGGACTCAGGTGTCTTGAGGTTGATTCATGGTGCAATTAAGCAAGATTAAATTTAAGGATCTGCACTCAGAATTTCCATTTCTGTATCACACAAAACATGTGGTTGTACCTGGTTAAGGACAGACAAAATTGGGTTTTACCTTTAGTTCTCTAATCTCTTAAGAGGCAGATAATGACAATACTAAATACTTTTATCCTGAGTATGTATGTAATTATGTATACTAATACTTTTATA